AATAAGTGTTCTGCTTATTATATATGATAATAAATTAACATAAATATGCTCCGAAATTTAATTCTTTGTTAATTTTTTACATGCCTCATTTTGGGACCATTTCAATACACAAGTAGAAAAGTTTTGATTTTGCCCTAAAAAATTGGAGTTTGAAGATCCATATCACTAAAAAGGCAAAAACATACATAATTCAAACTTGTTGATGTTTCTTAAAAAATCAGTGTTATTATCTTTATTATTATTTTGTCATCAAATCAAAGTTATTATTGATTAGTTAGGTTTATCGTTGAATTATTAATGCGAGGTAATAACCATAGAAGGAAAAAAAAATTTTTTTTCCTCTACTAGGTATGACTAGAAGGTCCAAACCAAGTCGATAATTGAAAATGATTTTCATTCATTTGTTTAATTGCACTAAGGCAAACTTTATTCCACAAGGCAAAAGAGAATATCTAACGTAAGACAATCTAATTAGATTACTCTACGAAGGATTTATCTTTCTAAGCTCAGAGAAGAGAAATTCTCTCCAATTTCCTAGGCGAAAGTTAAAGAACCAAACCTAAAATCATCCTTTACATTATTTTAATATCACTTCTTACCAATTTAAAATTGCAATGCCTGAGACATATGCTTCTTCAGGATTCTCGAGCAGAAACAGTTCAAACAGAACCTATCTATACGAACATGCATGTTTGGGAAGATATGTTTAATAAAAGGGCAAATAAAACATGCATAATTTAAGAAGAAGGCATATCGGTCTAGTGATCTAACAACTTAATGTATGCCTTCTTCACCGTAACAAAGAATCGATCCCCCTCCCCAACCCTCTTCTCACGAACGACTTGCCCTAATTTGAAAAAAAAAAAAAGGCATAATTTAAATTTGGCAGCTGATGAACTTGCATCGGTTGAGCCTGAAAAAATTTTCAAGTAAAACAAAAGGGAAAATGTGGAAAATTGGGATTGATTGTTGAATGGCAGCCCACGTGTGCGAAAGTTATCCGAAATTACTTAGAACAATACGAAATGGTGGTAGAAAATTCATAATAGCAAATAGGGAAATAACTCTTTTCACCTTTTAATCCATCTATTTTAATGAAATAAAACGTTAAAAAAATTAGGGTATTTTAATAATTATTGTAAGATATTATATTTAAAATTTTTAAATATTTTTAATAAGTTTATATGTAAAAATGATTTCTATCAATAATATTTGGTTAAGTAATTTTGACAATTTAA